GCCCAGAACCAAAAGAACCTGGGAACCCAGAACCGGGAACCCGGGAACCCAGCCTGCCATCAAAATCGGGGGGAAACTGTCGCCAAGTCTCCCAACTCCCGCTGTAGAACCACTTTAGTGAAAGCACTGACTGGGGAATGGCAAACAATGTCTGAGGCGTTTTGGGCTCGCTGCCCAGGCCCTGGATCTCTGAAAAGGCGACGTGGCGCCGTGTCCGGAGCCCTTCCCAGACATGCGACGTCCTGATTTCTTTAGGACGGCGTCCCTGGAAATCCCGACCCTGTCCCCAGGACCGGCTTTTCCTCCGAGTCGTTTCTTGACGGTCCCGAGGCCTGGCGAGGGCCCCCGAAGGCCGAAACTAGCGAAAAAGCCTCCCGTCCTGAATCTTTCACGACGCCATCACGTCTGGGTTTAAGTCGGGCGTGTCCCCCTACAGGGGGATTTTGAGCGAAAACTTGAAAATACCCCCCCCCCCAAAAAAAATACCCCCAAAATACTCGAAAATACTCAGAAAATAAAAGAAACGTCCCAAGACAATTTTTTGACTATTCTTGAACATCCCCCCTGTAGAGGGACAGGCCCGACCTGCGGCGCGGGCCCGTGCCAGGGGTGGGGGGCCCCTCAGCGGGCTGCCTCGGCCGGGGCAGCGCGCCTCTCTGGAAGGTGCCATGGCGCTCTCCGGGAGACCGCCGGAGCGGCCCGCGACACGAGCCTGCAACAGCGACACGTCGCTGGCGGACCTTCGACGAAAAATAAGAATAGTCGACACATGAAAATAGCCAAACATCATCAAAACATCGTCCCCTGATTATTTTTGGACTATTGTTTTGAATATTCCTCCTGTAGGGACACGCCCGACTTAATACGAGATCGGCGATGGACCCCCGATAGCAACACCGCGCGGTCCCTGGCGGGGTGGGCACTCGGGCCTCTATCTCGGCGACGAGGAAGCATTTGGGGGTCGATGCAGCCCCCCATAGGGCAAGTCGACCAGCCCCCCCCAATGACCTGGAGGCCTGGAAGTGGGCACCAACACCAACACACGGGCATGCCTCCACCGGGGGAAGAGGATCCTCGATCTCGGCGCTGGTGGCAATCCCTCGGCCACCTACGAGCCCGAAAACTAGGAGCCAGAAAAAACACACAAAGGAATTTCACACAAAGGGTTTGGGCACCATCAACGGTGCAACGCATGTGCACACATGCGACTGGATCCCCAGCGATCCGAACCAGGGTTGATACACGGCCGCGCTCTAGGATGCAGTTGACATGTATGGTGTGTCTCGGTGAGTAGCTTTAAACTACCCACCGAGACCGGGATCTTCTTCCCTCGGCCTCCGAAAGCCGGCCGCCCCCCACGACGCTGCCCCGGAACCCCGGCGGAGACTCCCCGCGCCGCCGTCGGCCTCCATGGAGGGAGCCGCTCCTCGGGCTCCCGGGCCGTCCTGCAGGCGAGGCTCGGGGCGGAGAGCCCAGTCCACCCACCGAGCCGCCTGCCCCCGCAGAGGTCCTGCAGGCGTCCTCCGAGCCGAGGCCGCGTGCGTGGGCAGCAGGCCCCCAGCGAAGATTTGCCCGGCAGCGTCTCCTCGGCTCGCGCGCGGCTCGTGGGCAGAGCTCCTCGGCAGCGCTTCCCAGGCCTGCGCGCAGCTCGTGGGCAGCTCCTGGGCAGCGCGTCCTGCACCAGCGGTCCGCGGGAGTGTCTCGGGGTCAGCTGGGGGCCCCATGCTTCCCGGCACTCCGCTGCGCTGGCGGCGGCATGCGGGCGGCAGGAGGGCGTCAAGGGCAGACCCGGGAGCTCCGCGCGGGGCTCCCAGAGACAGTGCTCGCGGCCAGCAGAGAAAGGTCTGACTCTGCACAGGAGGATCCTGGCGCGACAACAATCAGGGGCCTTCTAGGTTCCAAAGCAGTTCAAAGCAGCTCTGAGCAATGCAGAGCAATGCAATGCAAATTACTGTTTGGCACTGCTTGGCGTTGCTTGGCATTCCTTGGCATTGCTTGGAATCGTTCCCTGGTATTTCTTGGCATCGTTGCATAGCATTGCTTGGTATTGTCTGACATTGCCTGATACTGTTTGGAATCGCTGCTTCGCATTGCTTGGGACCGTTGTTTGGTATTACTTAATACTGTTTGGGATCGTTGCTTGGCACTGCTCGGCCTTGCTTTGCATTGCGCGCATTGCTTGGCATTGTTTAGCATCGGGCCCCCCCAGGCAAGCCCGAGGAACGCCGATGGTCGCATCTGACGGAGGCCCCCGCACAGACCTGCGTCTTTCAGAAGCAACTAAGAAACCTTTCGGCAGAATCATACGCTCGAAGGTTACATGTAAAAACAGTTCTGAGGTTACGCAAAGTCTACAAGAAGAAGGGACTTCTGAGTCTACACAACCGTAAACTATCGAAGGCTCGCACTTCTTGCAAGAGAGCGTCAACATAACATGGACCGCCCTTGCGGCGCCTCTGGCGCCGCCCCTGGCGCGGCCCTTGGAACGCTTCGCTTGCCATGGAGGGGTGCCCAGCGCCGATCCAAGAAATCCTCCAGGATCTCCGAAAGCTCAGGCTTCTGCCGCTTCTTCCTCGTCCACCCTGGGCCATGGGCCATGCCCCCTCGAGCAACGTTTACCCGACCCCCCCTAGGTCTTGTGGATGCCACGACAATGGACACCCTGACAGTCCCATCATTGAATTAAAGATGTGTTTAAAACGTGAAAAACATGTTCTGAAAATGCTTCAAACATGTTATCAACACATGTATAACATAGTTGAAACATCTCTTAGACACCTGAAAACTATTTGGCAGCATGCTTCCTCTCCCTTGATCGACTTCCACAACCATAGTCACCCGCCGGCGTCGCCTGCGCCCCACTGGCCGCTTCACCGCCCCCCCCAGATGGGGATGTGGGCTGCTCCCTCCGAGCCTCGAGGGACCTCTCCCCAACTCGGGGTGGTGGGATGGCGGGGCTGAGACACCATCCCAGATATGTGACGTCCTGACTTTTTCAGAACGGCGTCCCTGGAAAACCCGACCCTTTGTCTGGGACCGGTTTTTCGTCCTGAGTCGTTGTTTGACGGTCCCGAGGCCCGGCGAGGGCCCCCCGAGGCCGAAAGTGGCCAAAAACCTCCCGTCCTGATTTTTCCCAACCCTCCTTGGTTGGGTATTCGTTTTGAATAGAGCAGTGTGGTCGCGTCCCTTCTCCCTTCTCCCGCCTCCCGCCTCCCGCCTCTTCCTGTCTTGCCTGCGGGGGGCTGCGATCTGTGAAACTGTCGCCACTTTCGAGGCCTGCTGGGGGGTCCCAGCATAGAGGGTAACCGCGGCAGATTCAAATTAGACCTCGCCATCCCTGGGGGGCTGCGATCTGTGAAACTGTCGCCACTTTCGAGGCCTGCTGGGGGGCCCAGCATAGAGGGTAACCGCGGCAGATTCAAATTAGACCTCGCCATCCCTGGGGGGCTGCGATCTGTGAAACTGTCGCCACTTTCGAGGCCTGCTGGGGGGTCCAGCATAGAGGGTAACCGCGGCAGATCCAAATTAGACCTCGCCATCCCTGGGGGGCTGCGATCTGTGAAACTGTCGCCACTTTCGAGGCCTGCTGGGGGGTCCTGCATAGAGGGTAATCGCGGCAGATTCAAATTAGACCTCGCCATCCCTGGGGGGCTGCGATCTGTGAAACTGTCGCCACTTTCGAGGCCTGCTGGGGGGTCCAGCATAGAGGGTAATCGCGGCAGATTCAAATTAGACCTCGCCATCCCTGGGGGGCTGCGATCTGTGAAACTGTCGCCACTTTCGAGGCCTGCTGGGGGGTCCAGCATAGAGGGTAACGCGGCAGATCCAAATTAGACCTCGCCCTCCCTGGGGGGCTGCGATCTGTGAAACTGTCGCCACTTTCGAGGCCTGCTGGGGGGTCCAGCATAGAGGGTAACCGCGGCAGATTCAAATTAGACCTCGCCATCCCTGGGGGGATGCGATCTGCGAAACTGTCGCCATTTTCGAGGCCTGCTGGGGGGCCCAGCACAGTGAGGGCCACGCGCGGATTCAAATTAGACCTCGCCATCCCTGGGGGGCTGCGATCTGCGAAACTGTCGCCATTTTCGAGGCCTGCTGGGGGGCCCAGCACAGTGAGGGCCACGCGCGGATTCAAATTAGACCTCGCCATCCCTGGGGGGCTGCGATCTGCGAAACTGTCGCCATTTTCGAGGCCTGCTGGGGGGCCCAGCACAGTGAGGGCCACGCGCGGATTCAAATTAGACCTCGCCATCCCTGGGGGGCTGCGATCTGCGAAACTGTCGCCATTTTCGAGGCCTGCTGGGGGGCCCAGCACAGTGAGGGCCACGCGCGGATTCAAATTAGACCTCGCCATCCCTGGGGGGCTGCGATCTGCGAAACTGTCGCCATTTTCGAGGCCTGCTGGGGGGCCCAGCACAGTGAGGGCCACGCGCAGATTCAAATTAGACCTCGCCATCCCTGGGGGGCTGCGATCTGCGAAACTGTCGCCATTTTCGAGGCCTGCTGGGGGGCCCAGCACAGTGAGGGCCACGCGCGGATTCAAATTAGACCTCGCCATCCCTGGGGGGCTGCGATCTGCGAAACTGCCGCCATTTTCGAGGCCTGCTGGGGGGCCCAGCACAGTGAGGGCCACGGGCAGATTCAAATGAGACCTCGCCATCCCTGCGGGGCTGCGATCTGTGAACCTGTCGCCACTTTCGAGGCCTGCTGTGATCCCCGTTTTCGAAGTGGCTAGGAGTGCTCAGGAATTGTAAATCATCAGCTTTATCAAGCCCTTTTCCTGTAGCCAGTGTCCTGCGAGTCTCCCGAATTCCGTCTGCAGACATATGTAACCCTCGCTCCGTCATCGCCCCCTTATAAAGTATCCTAAACTATTTGCGCCCCGCTTTTGCGCAGGGGTTGGGTACGTCGCCAGGGTAATTTACGACGCGATCATGTCTGGGATGGCACGGTGGGGATGGGGACAGGTCGACCGATACCGACCCCCAGTCCACCGGGGCCTCTTCGCCTTCTTCCAGGGCTTCTCCGCGAGCTGGTTCATGTCCAGGGGAGCCGGCTTGCCGTTGTTCGGCGCGTGGGCGCTCGTCCTCGCGCCGCCGGGGCCGCCGCGGGAGCCGGGCACAGAGGAGGCAGTGCTCGACTGCAGAAGTCGCCGAAGCGAGACCATCGCTTGGCGTGGGACGCACAGGGACATACTAATACTGTATGTCCTCCTCGGAGGCGCGCGTCCGATCCGAACATATAGTATACCCATCTTGTAGTATATCGTTTCCCGAGCGGTGTGGCCAGAAAGCGCCCGCCACGACGCATGTACTATGAGATTTCTCGGTGCGCGCGTCGCCCCTGGGGGGGCGACGCACATATAGTACACGTATGTTGAGGGGGGTAGCGGGAGGGAGGAAGACTTCGTGGAAGGGGGCTGATTCTTAGAAGGCGCCGGCCTTACATCTACAGAGAAGGCTCGCGCCTTCTAAGAAGCAGGGGTGCTTCTAAGAAGCCTTCCTCCCGCTCTCTACCCCCCTCTGCGCGTGGCCGAATCGCAAGCGCCGTTCTCCGAATCGCGAAGTCGCCCAGACGAGCATCAAGACTAAGCCAGGAAGAGGACACAGATATCCACCGGCAGTTCTGGAGGATGTGTCGGGCGCCGCAGCCCTCTCAGAACGCTCTGGAACGCTCTGAGAGCGTTCCAAAAAGCTCTGGAAGGGTTCGTCCACGTCCCGGCCCCACCCGGTCAAAACCAGACACTGTTCGACGGCATGATTCGCCGAGGCGCTGCCATCGCCAACTTCGTTCTCTGGAGCCGCCCAGAGAAGCGTGGCGGAGACGCACGGCTTGGTATTGCCCAGCAGCGTGGAAGCGGCCCTCCAGGCAGTTCGAAAGCATCACTGAGGGGGGAACGGAAGGGTGGGGGACTGGATCGGGGGGGGGGGAAGGGCGGGGGGGGGGAAATTGACGTGGAATCGGCGATGCACCGACGATACAGTCAACCCGTATAGTAAGGATGCGCAATGAGGATGCAAGGGCCTTGGGCGCCCATTTCGAAGCTTTTCGAGCGGGGCGCGGCCAACGAAAGCGGCCAAGGATGGGCCGAAGAGGCAAGAATGCAAGGGTACCCTTGGGAAGGCTGCCCATTCTTACTATGCAGGTTGACTGTAGATCGGCGATAGCCACCCGATGGCGAACCGCACCCTCCTTGGCGAGAGAAGGGGGCCCATGCCACGACTGTCGATGAGTGGGCGACTGGGGCTCGATGTTCCCCCCTCCTCCTCCTCCACCCCCTCCTCCTCCTCCTCGTCCTCCTTCTCCTTCTCCCCCTCCTCCTCCTCATTCCTTATCATCATCCTCGTCCTCCTCCTGCTCCCCCTCCTCCTCCTCCTCCTCCTCCTCCTCCTCCTCCTCCTCCTTATCCTCCTCCTCCTTCTCCTCCACCGCGGAGGTTTTCTCGCCGCTTTCGGCCTCAGGGGGGCCGCTTCTCGGGCGGCTGGGGCCGTCGGGGGCGACGACCCAATTTTGGTCGGCGCCAAAAGCGAAGAAGCACGACGTCGGAGGCCTGGGTGCCAGGGCCCAGGATGTGTGGTTCCTCCTAGGAGTTGCAACCCAACCTCGGGGGTCTCTCGCCCGGTCTGAGGTTGCGCTGCCTGGGGGGAGAAGAAGAAGAGGAGGGGGGAGGGGGGGGGCCCTGGTTCGCACCCGGCGACACTGCGTGGTGCACCGCTGGCACTTGACCGTCACTCAACAAGATCTCACATCCCCTGCCTGCCTGCCTGCCCTGGCAGGGTGGGGGCACCTGACCTGCCTCCTGCCTTGGGCCGAAGGCTCACGCGAGCACGGGGTGGGTGCCCGACCTCATCCCCCCAAGGCCCGAATAGGTCCCTATCCACCGCCTGCCGTCATCCACGCCTCGCACAGGTGGAGCGCATCCTCGAGTGCTAAGGCCTAGGAAGAGGAGGAGGAGGAGGAGGAGGAGGAGGAGGAGTAGGAGGAGGAGGA